TGACTATAGCGGTGGTGTAAGCATTCGCTCGTGTTCACTATCTCTCGACCATTCTCCAAGACCTGCACTTTCTTTTTGTGTCCCTCACGAATGGTTTCGGACACTGCAGTAAAATTTTTAGATAACTTCTCCCTAAAAGCCTAATCTCATGCTTTTTTAAGTGATTGTGTGATTCTTAATTATATGCTCTTAAAAAGAACTAGAATGTCTTTTTTCGTTTGATGTCGGAGACTGCTAGTCAGTCTCATAAACCTTGAGACTATTTCCCGATGTGTAAAGCGAGAATTCCGCATTGTATGAAAAGTGCAAATAATTAAAATGGATTCCACTGTGGTTCTTTAAATCTGTCACAAGTGCCAATGTAGTACAGAACCAATAACTCTCAAGGTGTGATCAGTGTGTCAGAGTGATCGCCATATAAAATACATGCAAGTTAGCGTGTTGTTTGTCAGCGGACTGTGAGCGCTTAACTCACGCAAACCCGCATCAACACGCATATCTGGCGGACATGGCATGTCAACGATAACAATCACTTCTACGAACTCAGCCATTAAAATAGACGTGAAAGTGTTTGACTCTAAGTGCACTATTCAGTGAAATATCGACAACAAAATAACTATGCATTTACTATAAAAGTAAGTTTACGAATGGCAGCTTGATATCAGAGCTTGTCGTAAAAGCATTGACATATTCTAAGAAGGAGTACAGCCAATGCCTAATGACCATGTTCATCCATCGTATAATTAAGCATTAAATGACAGCCCAAAGAATCTTGAAACTTCTATGGCACAGAGTAAAGACGCACTGAGATCAAAATGACTTGATAATTTTACTCTCATAGGAGTGAACGGTACCATTTGCTTAAATACAATGCAACAAAGTCTGTCAATCAGGACATAAAATAGCATCACAGACTGCATTTTTAGAACGGGATTCATGAAATCTTTTTCACTATGTAGTTGACCTGGAAATTTCAAATGAATACTGTTGATTTAAAATGACTGGATTAAAAAGAGAAAATGACATACAGAAGTTGGCGAAATATAGAAACGTTCAGTCGTTGTTGCTTCTAGACCTGGAGTAAATCTGTATTCTAATACAGAATTTGAATCAGCATCAGTTGCTTCGGCTTTGAACACTCTTGTACCAGGCTTAGTTTTTGATGCCCCAGCCAGTACAGCTTTTGCAATTGAATGGGGATAATTTGGCCAAAATGGAACAAAGACAGGTGGTTCATCATTCACGTCAAGCAAATGCACGGAGATTAGAAATTTACTTAGCTTAAAAGTACCTATAATGGAAGAAATTTTTCGAGCAATAAATAGTAAAATCGATCTAGATGAAGAATTTTGTCCAGACTAATCAAAAAACGCATATCAATATGTAACAGCATTTAAGTTAAGTGTGCTATCCAAGGATAAAAGGTATCCGTGGGTCTGATTTGCTAAAAATAGTATAATAGTTACCGTATAAATTATTGTGAGAGTAGACCTTGGCGTTGACGGTAAAATAAGGTAGAGACTCGTAATTTAGTGGCGTATTACTTTTTACACGCAGCTGGCATGTTTTTGTAGAAACATACACAGGAATATCTACATTTTCCTCAAAAGATATACACTGGGGATTTGAAAAATTCGCAAAGTTTTTCAAATGCAATAGAACACCCTGACTGGTCTCAGGCACATACAAAGGTATGTGTTT